CTGACCCCGCGGATCTGCGTGAGGGGTGGCACCGAATTTCAGAAATGTGGCACATCCCCTGTGTTTTTGAACCCTGACCCCGCGGATCTGCGTGAGGGGTGGCACCGAATTTCAGAAATGTGGCAAATCCCCTGTGTTTTTGGACCCTGACCCCGCGGATCTGCGTGAGGGGTGGCACCGAATTTCAGGAATGTGGCAAATCCCCTGTGTTTTTGGACCCTGACCCCGCGGATGTGCGTGAGGGGTGGCACCGAATTTCAGAAATGTGGCAAATCCCCTGTGTTTTTGGACCCTGACCCCGCGGATCTGCGTGAGGGGTGGCACCGAATTTCAGAAATGTGGCAAATCCCATGTGTTTTTGGACACTGACCCCGCGGATCTGCGTGAGGGGTGGCACCGAATTTCAGAAATGTGGCAAATCCCGTGTGTTTTTGGACCCTGACCCGCGGATCTGCGTGAGGGGTGTTGATTCCGAGTCCCGCAGCAATTCAGACAACGCGCCCAGGAGGTGCTAAAAATCCCGTTTGGGCCTCCCCCCCCCTCGCGCGGTCAATCAACTAGTTACAGTAACCAGCAAGAAGCAGAACTGTAACACTGGAAACTACAAGCTACAACTGGTACTGGAAACTGCGAACCCGTGCCTCGCAGCCTGGTGGCCCCACAAGGGGGCCGCCGGACTGCTGATGCTGGTGCTGACGCTGCTGATGAGAATGAGGATGATGCTGATGATGCTGATGCTGATGCTGCTGATGCCGATGCTGCTGATGATGATGCAGATGATGATGATAATGATGATGATTATGATGATGAGGAGGAGGAGGAAGAGGAGGAGGGAGGAGGATGAGGATGAGGAGGAGGAGGAGGAAGAGGAGGAGGAGTCTGCAGGAGGAGGAGAGGGTATGATGATGATGATGACGATGATGAAACTTATGATGAAACTGATGATGATGATGCTGATGATGATGATGATGATGCTGATGATGATGATGATTAGATGCGCCTGATGCCTGATGATATGCTTTCGATTGCTGTGCTGCTGCTGATGATGAGGATGATGTGATGAGATGATGTTGCTGATGGATGATGATGATGATGATGATGATGACGAACGACGACGACGATGATGATGATGACGATGATGAAGATGATGATGAGATGCTGATGATGCTGATGCTGATGATGATGATGATGCTGATGATGATGATGATGATGATGAGATGATGCTGATGATTGATTTGTGAGGTTGAGTGATGATGATGATGATGGTAATGATGATGATGATGATGATGAGATTTGATGATGAGGATGATGATGATTATGATGATGATTGATGCTGATGATGATGATGATGATGATGATTTTGATGCGATGCTGATGACTGATGCTGATGATGAGATGATGATGATGATGATGATGATGTGATGATGAGGATGATGATGTGATGATGCTGATGCTGATGCTGATGCTGATGCTGATGATTGATGATGATGATGAGATGATGATGATGATGATGATGATGATGAGATGATGTGATGATGAGATGATGATGAGGAGGAGGAGGAGGAGGAGGAGGAGGAGGAGGAGGAGGAGGACGAGGGAGGAGGAGGAGGAGGAATCTGTAGGAGGAGGAGGAGAAGGAGGAGGAGTGGGTAGGAGGGGGAGGAGGAGGAGGAGGAGGAGGAGGAGGAGGAGGATGAGGAGGAGTAGGGAGTCCCTCCTCTTCCTGCTCCTCCCTCCTCCTCTCTCGCTCCTCCCGCCTCCCTCCCCTCTCTCCTCCCCTCGGCTTCTCCTCCCCTCGGCTTCTCCTCCCCTTTGGCCCTGCCTGGGTTCTCGCAGGATAAGGTGATGTTGTTTGTGAACCAGGTCGCCGAGATCGTCCACACGATCGTCGACACTTGGCACGGCGCCGCGAATCGGAACATCGGCGATGCATTCCTGATCGTCTGGCGCCTGCACGAGAACGCCGCCACGTGGCAGAGGACGGCTCGGCGGGGGGCTGCGGGACTGGTGCGGCAGGTTGTCGTCGTGCCGACGTTGCGGAGACCCTGGCGCGCGCGTTCAAGCCTGGACGGCGGCGGTGGCCCAGAGTCGGCCGACGTCGGGCGACCTGCTGTATGGGGTACGGTCGGACCGAGGTAGAAGGTCGAGGTCGGTTCGGGGAGGGCATTCCACTGTTTTTCTGTGCCTGGAGGGTGTTCTTGTGCATCCTGGGGAGGGTACCCTTGGATGTTCTGTGTGTTTTCGCCGGCGGAGGGTCTCATGCTCTTGAAGGATGCTCGATGCTCTTCTGTCCTAGGTCCGACCGCATGTGATAGATGGGCACACCGCGATTGGATCGCTCAATGTTAAAGGATCCACACCGTGCCAGAAGCGAGCGCGCAAGTCGTCCTGGCACGGGACAGCCGCACCGATCCGCAGCAGATGGGGCAGGATGTGGGATGGTTACCAGCTTGAAACAGATTCTTATCCCTGCGTTTGGCATCACCCCATCTGGGTGCCGATCTTGAAGATTCCCTCAGTTTCTGTGGGCACATTCCTAAGCTTGTCACCGTTTCGGGCTTGCCGATCTTAGGGATCGGGATCAGTTCGAGGTCATCGGGGGCAGCTCGCAACATGGCAGGAGAGGAGCGGGAGCAGCTTCAGCAGCGTGGGCGGGGGCGGGAGCAGGGGCAATCGCACGAGAAGAAACAGCATAGAATGGGGAGGGAGGGAGGGGGAGGGACGGCTGGGTGATGTGGGGTGAGGGAAGCGTCGGGAGGAGAAAGAGAAGGATGAGGATGAGGTGGAGGATGCCGTAGCCGTTTTGGCTCAAGACGAGAAGTCCTCCCCGTCCCGACTCCCGAGGCTCGAGGCCGAGGTGAAGGGCAACCCCTTCCAAGGCCTGGCTGCCTCGGCCTAGCATTGTAGCAGTTGCGCTTTGTGGCGCCGACGGCTCAGACACGATGCTTCCCGCGGATGGGGCATGTCTCGTTCTCACGTCGGCGATCGGTGGAAGAGCAGCAATTTGTGGATGTGGACAAACCTTGCTCACTGCACGTGGTGCAACCATTGTCGGACATATCGACAAGAAGGGGCCCCGTAGCGTCAAGACGGTCAAAACAATCGCTGGAATCGTGCACGCTCTTCTGGCCCCAGCAGTGGGGCTAGCGGACGCCCCGCAGCTGTCGTGGCCGTCGCCGATTTCCAGAAGCTCGTGAAGGTCGCCGAACAGGTGGGCGACAAGGGCACCGTCACGAAATACAGCGAGGAGATTGCCAAGCGGACCTCCGTGAAGCTTGTGCATCAGCGGACAACAAGGCTCAGGGGAAGGCGGGGGCCATCAAGCGCAAGCCCAACACCGCCACGGAGCAGCTAAGCCAGCTTCGCACCCAAGTCGAGTTCCAGGGGGAGCTGGTCCAGCAGGTGGTGGCAGACATCAGTTTGGCGGAGGCCGAGTACAAAAAAGGTGTTGGCAGAGGAGCACAGCACCACTTTCGGGATGCACCCAGCCAGTACGTCGCAGGCCGCACCCACGTCCAAGCTCAACTTGCGCGCCCTGTTGGACGAGACCGCGGAAGGTCTCACCTCTGAGGATGCTGGAATGTTCGATGTTGGCGACGGCGACGAGCTCAACGCTGATGACGTGCAGCAGATCGCCAAGCGCAGAGAGGAGCCCATCAAGAATCAGCAGGATCAGGCGGCGGATTTTTTTGCCGATGCCGAGCCCAAGAACGAAACTTCGGGCACTGCGGGAACTTCGAGCACGCCATCACCGACTCCAAGGAGGATGCGTTCTGCCGCGGCGCCTGAAGTTCAGTAATCCCACGTGGGGGGGCACGGCCATGCAGAAGCCGATGCAGGGAAACGCATCGCAGCCGTGCGTTTCTGACAGTTGTGACAAGATCCAGCCTGCCCCGCGATGGTGCGCAGCATGGAAGGCAGGAGCCGCGCGGTCATGGGGATCGACTGGAACTGTTACCACCTGCTCGCCTGGGAGCCTGTCTACGCCGTCTGCGGCAACTCCACCGTCAACCTGGGCCCGCGGCAGGCCAGATGTCGACTTGTTCGATTTCAGCCGCGCCAGCAGGAACCAAATGGCGCTGAGGACCCATATGGCTCCTCCTTCAGCTGGAGCGTCGCCTTTGGGAAGCCAGATGCCCAGCGGCTCAATTTCGGAAGCCACCTCGGGAAGCCAGACCTCCAGGAGGACCCAGAAACTGACGTCGGACACCGCCTTGCCCCAGAACGCCATTGCATTTCCAGGTGATGCCAGAGCAGAGACAGTGTTGCGCTTGACAGCCTTGGATGAGGAATGGTGACCGGTGGATTACATGGGCCAGGACCCTGCCGGCGGCGAAGCCCCAGACCTGCCGCTGTTCGAACCCGAACCCGAGTTGAACGTCCTGGGCCAGCAGCAGTAAATTGGGACCGACGCCGCGTGTGCGGGAGTCTCCTCGGGGTCAAACCCGAGGCCAGCAGTTTCACGCGATGCCCCCCCCCCCCCCCAATTGCCGCGCGCATGCTCGAAACACAGGGGCCCATGAGCAGGGGCTTCAGAGGTATCGGCGTCGCGATGCACGAGACACCCTCTTCTATTTTACGAACTACATCAGGTGGGGTGAGATTGGGCTCGCGTGCCTTAACCGACTCCGCGACGAGGGCGATCGCGCCCAGCTGGGGGCCGAGACTCACCTCCGAGGGCCGCAGCTACACGCCGCTACCAGGAGCCTCGGGGATCGCCGCTGGAGGGTCGAGGCCAGCCCTGCTGGCGTCGCCGCTCCCCAATGGGAACTCGAGAGTGGAGGGGCGCGGGTCGCCGCGGGAGCTCATCTGAGCACGCGAGCCATCTGGCTCCAGCGCAGCGAGTGGTCGCAGCCTGCATCGGGGCGAGGCTCGTGGGCCGCAAGAGAGGTGCGCCCGCGCAGCGCCGCTGTCCTTCTCTTCTCCGCCGACTTCGCCCTCCGGGGGTGCCCCGTCTGGGGGCGGCGCGCAGATTTTTGAAGGGGTCGCGTGCGAGATCCGGGCCTCCAGGGCCTCCTTTCATTCTCGTGGCCGATTGGGGCGTGGAAGTCTCGGGGATCCGCCAATCAGGGGTCGAAGATTACACGGGCGCTCGGTCTCGGTTTTTTCCCCGTGGGGGTCGCCGGGGAGTTCGGGGAGAGGGCGATCGACTTCGGGCTCGTCTCCTCCCACCTCGTCCCCGACCTTGCCCCCCAGTGCGACCTCGGCGGCCCGCGGGCGCAGCCGCGCCTGGGGATCGAGTGCCGTCTCGCATGGGCGTCCACGGAGCGGGGGGTCCAAGCGCTCGCTGAGCCGACCGAGCTTTCCCTCGGGATGCAGGGCCCCGCGCGGGCTTGGGAAACGCGCGTGGAAAGGGGCCGAGCCTCCGAAGACCTTCGAGAAGAAGAGTACTTCGTCGCCCAGCCCTGCGCAGATCCCACGCTGACGGCCAGGTGCCGTATTCTCGCCACTGCTGCTGAAGACATGCGCGCCAGGCGAAGTGGGGGCCTGCGAGGCGCGCGCCGATGAGGGTCGGCGCCGATGCCAGTTGCTGAGGAGGCAGTGGCGCCACCGCTACTCGGGGGCAAACTGGGGGTGCTTATGAGTTCGCTTCCAGGAAGAGAACTGCGTCGCCAGGATCCAGGACCTTCTCGTGCTCAAGATCGGGAAGAGCAGTCCTGCGCAGGACTCCAAGCGCCAGGAAAGGGAGGGGCGCCTCAGGGATGCGCCCAGCAACATTTCCGAGTGCAACCACCCTGGGGGCCCCCAGGAGAACCCAGAGAACATGCCCCAGAGTATTCAGGACGTGCAGACCATGCCCGGGAGATGGCCGCCGGCGACTGACCGTCCTGCAGGTCGGCCAGGAGCTCCGGGATCAAGCCGATCGAGAATCTTGCAGAGACAAACAGGCTGGTTTCCAGGAGAGGCTAACCCAGGGCCTCCGAGGGGAGGCGACATGGGCCTACAGGCGCACCGACGAATGGGGACATCCACGAGCCATGCCAGCGCAGGAAATTGATTATTCAGGAGATCCACTGTGGGGCCCTATCGGGGGCTCTGGCAGTTAGAAGGGCCCGCTGGAGCTCCCTCTGGTCAGAGCCCGAAGGACTAGGACACCCGGCAAGTTAAAAGTGGCGGTCCCAGTTTCCTGCAGAAGCCTATAAGCCGCTGCCCCTGACCTTCCGCCGTTTTCCAAGTCAGATGTCGCTGCTGCGTGCGAGTCTTCCCCGACCACTATGGGCATGGGGGCCGACCAGTGGAAACCGGTGCTCTGGAGCTTGCCGGGTGATGCGCGTAGCGAGCTTGAGGCCCTCCTGCGCGACATGGGGGGCAGGTGCGTTTGGCCAGAGCACATTCTCATCAATGAAGTCGGCATGCATCCCAAACCCACGGGGGAACGTGACCGACCCGCCGCCGGGGCCCGGGGGCCGTGCCGCACGTGGCCCCAGCTTCGGAAAGAACCAGTCGCCCAAAGCAGGGTTCAGGGATGCAGCCGCGCGAGGGCCCGATCCGCTGAAGGCCGCCTTAGGATAGCCAGCGCTGAGGCAGCCGCGTGGCTCTCGATCGACCGGGCGATCCTCCTCTTAGATGCAGTGCAGTTTTTTTTTTTTTTTTTTTTTTTTTTTTTTTTTTTTTTTTTTTTTTTTTTTTTTTTTTTTTTTTTTTTTTTTTTTTTCGACGCGCCCAGCACTTCCTTGATCTGCGCACATGGCAAGGGGCTTGATTATCCTGTGCGCGCCACGCACATGGGCATGTGCGTGTGCGCTGCAGATCGGCCCCCCGCTGCGGGCCCAGCGGCGGCGGACTGCATCGGCGCGCAGCGAATTATCCTCCAAGGGCCCGCGCAGAGCGTTGCGTGGGCACGTTTACGCCTGCGCGACATGCCTGCCACAGCGCGCGCAGTATCGGCCCATGGAGTTCAGCATTTGGGTGGGCGACAGCTCGCCCTCGGCCAGGGGGCCCCAGGAGATCGTGAGAAACCTCGCCGTCCAATGGGCCC